TTTTTAACACAGCTTTTTCAAACATCCTAGTTTTATTTTGGATGCTTACATTATTTTACTTTGCACACATTATTTCACAAAAAACAAAAACTACCAGGGTCAAAACTATTAGCCCCCCTGATGCCAATAGTCAATTGTGTAACCTTTTTGCTGGATAATTTTGCTGCAGTCGTTTGTTGTAGTTTGTATATGAAAATAACATTGGCGAAAAAGAAGAGCCAATATGCATTTCTCTACTAATATGCATTGACCCCACCTTTTGTCTCTGCATCATATTGAGCAGATCTCCAAAAGGTGACTCCTCAGGGTTGTCGAATGCCAGCAGGGCCAGTGTCCTCTCCATCTCCGTCAGACATTCTCGGCTCTCCTCCCCCTGCTCTGCTAACTGGGACTGGGCAAATTCAAGGGCAGCTTCGGTCTCCCTCAAACGAATCAGCTCAATCAGATGCTGCTGCTGCAAACACAAAAACCAAGAGGGGGCATTAGTGTGTGAAAACAGACGTAGTAAATCAGGCAGTAGAAATTACATTATTAAATCTCTGCAAGATGAGAGGCATTGAGTTGTATTTTACCTGTAGGTGAAAGTAGAGGTAACGGTTGGTATCCAGCAGTTCTGGGTGCAGACTGTTGATCAGTGCGATGGCATCCTGGATCTGTCCCTTCAAGATCATCTCTCTGATCTTAATTCTTTCATCGAGGGAGTCCAAGTCCACACTAGGCTCTATTCCAGACTCCATCCTGAATTTCTCCGCTGCCTCCTTAAAGCCCTCTGTTGAACAGAAGACGGTGTGAAATCCTGAACATTACCCCTTCGAGCACAGCAAATGTCTACAGAACTGATCTTAACAGACAACTGATTGAGTAAAAAAATAAAGACCGGTACTTCACCTGTCACCAGGTAGTTCATAATGAGCCTGTTCATATCAGCTCTCTGAATGTGGACATTGTTGAGTTTATCCATCCACTCTTCTCTCGTTATGTCCTCCGGCTTCTCTGCATAACTCATTATGATGATATCCTGAACAGGTGCAGAGGGATATCTTGTGAGTTCGTGTGACACAATGACTTTTTCGGGCACTTAGAACATTGAATTCGTGGTAAGGACAATTATATAACGTCATGGAGGTTTTGGTAATTAGCTCTTTAGTTTAACAGCAGCGGAAATCTTTAGTCACAACAGTTTGGGCCTTCGGTGAAAAACACAACATTGAAGCCTGACTTAGTCAACACGGATCAAAACAAAGACAACGTCAGCCTTTCTGTAGCACTTATATCGAATACACACATCCGGAACGAGTGCTGTTCTTCTTCAATGTCTCCCATCGACATGCATCTACAGTCCTATACACATATTATGGTTACTTTATTCACAATACCTGAAAATGTTGTCGCTACTTCCCAGCAGTAGCTAGCCAGCGACCGGAGGAGAGCCTCTTCTTCTTCTGCTGCTGCTGCCTCTGGCCTGTTTCCGGTAAAACTCTACGCCACCTGCGTACTGCTGCTGCCCCCTGCAGGAAAGGAATCGCATTGCATGAATTTATTTGAGAACTGTGGTTTTACCTCAAGGCAATGACATGTGTTTACATATCCTCCATATAGATTTATGCTAATCTTATTAGCCGTTTCAAAGAAAAAGGAAGAAATAGCCGGATTTTCATTGTATCATCATTCATTGTATTGGTTGGTTGCTGACATCTGTTTGTTTGTTTATTAAGATCACCATTAGCTTCTGTATAACGGTCGCTATTCTTCCTGTGGTCCACACAGTTTACATGGTGACAATACTATACTCACATTACTCATCACAATACACTGACACAACACATCATAATGCACATATACTATATTTATATATATATAGAAATGTATAATTTTTTTTACACCCTGCTTTTACTGGGGCAGTTTAAAAACTAAAACACTTTTTCCTGTGTTTTAGACTTTTACTATTACATATACCTAATGCTGGTGTAATATGGAAGGTTTGCTTCATTCACCAGCCAAAAAAAACAAACAAATTGTATTCCATTGAGTGGCTGTTAAAGGTATTGCAACAAATATAAATTATTTTTATTACATTATTAGATTGTTAATAATGGTGCATCAGTGTATAAGCAGCATTTTATTGCTGTAGCTGTCAAAGGTGTTAAACTATGTTATATACCATTGAGTAGTTTAGTCTAG